ATCACTATGGCTGGACCAGCGCCTTACGGAAGCTTTTCAGAACCCTACTTCATGTCAAAAAATTTCTACGAAATAAAAAATGCAGTATTCCAAGAAAAGCAGCCGCCCGATCGACACCGATTTTATGCTCATCCCACTTTCTATAATTTCTATACATTACATATTTCTAACCTCAACTTTTCATCCTCGTATAAATATCGCATAACTCTGATACTTATCGATACTGAAAATATACTCACGTCGAATACATGCAGTGTATCCTTCTCACACGAAGAATTATTACCATTGACATCAAACTCCAAAACCTTGAGTCGTATACGGTAACCCAACGGTGCAATCAGCATCATAAAACAATTTCTGCTGGCATTATAAGGTGCTCTGCCGTAAAGCGAGTGTGAATATATGACTCCAGAGAACCCTAAAAACACCTCATAAAGATATCACGAAGCCGACATGATGGGTGCCGTTCACCTGTGATTCGTCGTTCAATTCTAGTCTTGCACTGATTGAAGGGATCATTGCCATCGAGGAAACCTATAAGAAGGTCATGAATGAAAGGTTGTGGACAAAAGTGTGTCCCATATAAGCATGCATAGGAATTGTGAAACCCACTTATGCTAGGTTCGACGCCTACGATAGCTGCGACTCGAAGAAGGCAGCACGAAATGGCTGAGATCGTCAGAGCCCTTGTCACCATTTCTAGACTACAGAAAGAATAGCACGTCTTGAGTTTGGTGCGATCAAAGTTCCTATGAACCCGAAGTTCACGGAAGTAAACCGGGATAAATGGATGGAATTATGAAGTAGGACAAATAATAAAATATGAAGGATGGTAATGCAAAGACACTGATGTTTTGAAGATCAGGCTCAAAACAAAGGAACAACGTGGACAAGGCCGAAACTGCACAAAGTTTCAGCAAATATTTATAAAATAACAAAAAACAAGAGCAGATAGGATCAATAATGAAGATTTTGGTGCTCTGAGTCGTTCCTACTGTTTTCTGTTGATTTCTGCTGTTTTTATGATTTTGTTGATGCTCGGTTCTGCCACAGCAACACTGAAAAATGGAAGAACCGACCGAACGACGGAACTTCTACTGGGGCACGAACCCCAAACAAGCCGCTCTAGGTAAGGCTGATGTCAGACTTCGCAAATAGAGACATTCGCTGTACGCGATGCAACTGTGGACGCTAGCGAATCGCTAGTAGCGAATCCCTCGATTCGCAAAGTCTGGCATCGGCCTAGCTCGCCTCGTTGGAATATCCTAAGTGCGCTTTTCGACATCGCCAACGGTACACCTACTCCATTTCACCTTTTTCTCTTTCCAACGGTGCCAATCAGCAATCTCGAAGGCATGAATGTCATGACTGTCTCAAACATTCATCGTGTAGTATATCGTGGACCACTACCATTACCCTACTTACAAAAGTGCCATTGGTGTAGACTGTTTATCACTGGCTATTTAAATATCACATAAATGTTACGTAGCAACCATCATCTGTTTATCAGGCCCGAAGTGTCTATAGAGGCAAGGCAGTGCTTACACGATCGAATCCTGGGTCGAGCGTTCTCCGGGCCATACAAGCTTCCATCCCTCGAGGTCGGTACTAACTTGCCTCGAAAATAAAGCACACCTTTGCCCACGTGGCCCCAAGCAGGGTCGTCCCTATCGTTGTTACTTTTCGAAAATTTTTTACGACCCCCCTCCCCCAACGTGGATTTGATACGACCCCCTTTTCCCTACCTCCACCATCTCCATCTTCCATCAAAACCCCGCCCACTTTTTCCTCCAAAAATGCCGTCGAGCGGAGGGTATATAGTCACTCTGAACGGTAAATATCTACGAAAATTTCCTTTCTAGGGAGGTATATACCCCGCTGAAACGGCAAATTTTTATCCTGCGCGCCCTCCACTCGCCCAGCCTACTACCCACGAAATCTTAGTTTCACCTCAATCCCACACGTGATTTCGAGCGACTAAAGTGGGTACGACCCCCCCCCCCTCCTACAAACTCAACCAGGTACGACCCCCCCGTTGTTACTCGTAACAACGTAGGGTTGACCCTGCAGGGCCAGCACCCAAGT